CGACCTGGCAACCTGGCCCGGACACAGGCACCGACCTGGCAACATGGCCCGGACACAGGCGCCGACCTGGCAATCTGGCCCGAACACAGGCGCCGACCTGACAACATGACCCGGACACAGGCGCCGACCTGACAACATGACCCGGACACAGGCGCCGACCTAATGACCTGACCCGGACACAGGCACCGACCTGATGACCTGACCCGGATAGGTGATTGGTTCTCGGTTTTTCTAGTCCGACCATCTGGTCTGGTCCGGTTTGAAAACCATGCATGTGCATGGAAAGACCCAAAAAGACTGAAAACACCAAAAAGCTTTCTGGTCTTTCTACATTATAAATAGCCTCCAAATGTGTTTTTAAAAGCTTAGTAGACTGAGACACTTCTTTGTCTTTAAAGACAAGACCCTAAAAGCTCAATGTCTTTTGGCCATTGGGCTGCTGGAAGATCTTTCCAAAAAGACTTTGCCAATGGCACCTTAGTTTTTCAAGAATAGTTTAGATGTATGCTATTCAACAAACAAAAAAGAAAGAAAGAAAGATCTGAGGCCCAAAGGTTATGAGTTATAATATACTCAACAATAAATTCAACAAGCCTCATTTCTTGGTCGTAGATATGTCAATAATTTAAGATATTTCACAGTGACCAGCATGTTTTGGATGTGAACTGAAGAAAACTTTACAGTATACAGAAACAATAATCAGGGTTGAGTCAGGTACACTTCTAGAGCTCCTCAAACTTGATTAATATTTGATTCATCTGTGGCTGGTGCTTCCTAACCTGTGGTTAAAAGAGTCATCTCAGCCCCAAAAGGATAGTAAGGGAGGCTATCTCCATGACTGCAAAGTTCGAATTTAAGTATTTAACTAAATTTATTGCATTACTAACTTCTCAAAGTGTAAGAATCACCATGTCATGCAAAAACATGATGAAAAATGGCAGAGCAAAGGCCTTGCTTCATTGAGTATGATCACTTTCTCTCAACTTGGTCCAAAGATGGCTTGGTTCTGGTAAAAAAAGGTGAAGAAAAAATGAAGAATAATTAAAGCAATGAGCAATGCTTACTTTAACACCAGCCATTGATAACAGTCTGTGAGAAGCTATATATGCTGTATCTGACTGTTTCAACCTCTTCTCCACAAAATATATCACTTCAGAAACACCTGACTGCAAGAAAAAGCATGGTAAAAATAGTGATAAATTAGTAGGATCAGATCTCTTCATATGAAATAAGCTAGATAAGCAAACCAGAAGATCAGGGGGCACCACTTAATAACAGTTAAATCATCAAATTGTCTTTTAGTGGATAAGTCACTAAGTAGATTGTGAGCTCCTTAATGGCTGAATGGAACTTTGGGCCGACTATTAAACCATTATTGTATGACTATTTTATCCACTAAAAGAGAAAGCAATAAGTCATTCAGCCACTTCAGCCATTGTCAAACTTCCCATTGGAAAGCTAAAACTAACAAAATATAATATGCTCCATTGTAAAAGAAAATAGAAACAGATGAATACCACTGCCATTATCCCATTTATATCATGTTAGATATTTTCATGCCAAAAGATTATACAGTGAATACAGTGCAGCGTCTTGTAGTGGAGAGTCAGTAGGTGTTGATGTGAATTAGTTTGTGTTCTTTGGGGTGGTCCGTAGGTGTGTTATCTGTCTCTTAGTTCATATGGTGTCTCCATTTTCTTGGTTGTCTCTTCTTCGTTTAATGAAATTCTTATTTACCAAAAAAAAAAAAAACAATGCAGTGTAGTGTCACCTAGGCATTTAATAGGCAACTGACAGGGTGTTATGGAGGTCTACCACCTAGCTATAATCCCCAAATAAATATACAAGGGTAACATATTGTTTCAGATAATTAATGGTTTAGTGAAAATTTTGCATCCAATATGCCTTTTCCACTCAATTTGTGCCCTTGTCATATATCTAGATAGCATAGCCACCTATGTGACCAACTAGGCATCAGTACAGAAACATTTAGTGGGGAAAAGTAAGTATTTTTTCCCTTTTTGTATACTGATAGAAGTGATTAACTGGTCCATGACACAACCAAACTGGTTGTGTCAACCATTGGTTTGAAAATTGGACCATGATGCGACCAAACTGGAAAAGGTCTCAGTTCTCAGTTTCCCTGGTTTAACTGGAACCAGCCAGTTCTGGTGGTTTTGATTGAGCTGGAATGGGATCCCGATACCACTTTCCCGGTTCAACTATCTATTCTGCTTCTCACACAAAAATCTTTCTGCAACTCTCAATTAATGATACTTGAACAACACCCAAAAGATGAGCACAGATCACAGAGAAGGAAAATATCTAGAACCATAGTCCAACCTGGATAATTATCTTTGCACATTCATTGCAAGGGAACATTGTCACATAAAGCCTCTGCACAATTTAAAAAAGGAAAGAAGCTTTTCTTAGTGCCATTAATTACAAAGTAGAAGCAAAGTTAACCAAGGTAGCAGTAAAAGAAAAAAAAAAAAAACAGCAAACATATGATCCAATGCATCTTCTTTGTCAAGAGTACAATATACTCACAAGATAAATTTAAAGTTCAAACATGGTAGGGAAGCAATTAACCTGTCCTGCAGCAGATGCATGATTTGTGTTCAGAATGGCATTAACTTCAGCATGACAGACATAACTGCAAAAGAGGTAGTGAGCAAATAATAATTTATGGTTGTCAAGAATGCGATATATTGTGTGTAGTAGTTTGGGTCAAACTTTGAGAAGAAACCGTGCATCATTAAACAGTAATATAAGAGGTGATAATGGGAAAATGCATGGATGATGCAGCTCAAGAAAATATTGATCTTCCTTTCCAGAATTACTAAAACTAAAACGGCAATAAATAAACAACTGTCAAGGCAATGCATTTGACACTTTGCTGAATGCAGGGAAATTGACACAAACAAGGACTCGTGGAAACATCTATAGAAAAGTATATGTCATTAAAATAGTTTATATTTTTTAGCTCTAGTATTATATACCTGAAAAAAGTGATCTAAAATGTTGCCTTTATTACCAAGTAACATTTGATATGAAAAATGGAATTCATTCTGTAGATTTTGTTCATTTTTGTCAAATAAGCTAGGAGTGTCCTCAAGAATCCATGGAATGTAAGACTTTGAGATTGAACACATCATCCATTTAGGAAACTCCATGCAACAGTGCTGAAAAAACATAGTGCTTTTCAGCTGGGTGGTACTTCCATCTTGTGAAGTAATTTCGGGTATTCACCTTGTGATCATTCTCCTTTAATATTACAACAATTTGAAAAAAAGGTTCTTGCAATTGCATATTGGTTATACCATTGAAGAAAATACAATAAGTAAATGAAACATTATAGGTTCCTCCAATTGAATGCATCTTATCATATGATCTAACAAGTGTAAAAGTTTGGCCAAATTTGGAATTCATAAAAAAAAATACAAATCTGTGTCTGTACACCAAATTTTAGGGCCACAGAGTAAAACTACAGTAGACCTATTAAATGATACAGCAAAAAATGACAAATCAATCTAAAGAACTGGCTGAGACAACTAACATGGTAAAAATATGAGCAGTAAGTAATGAATAGACGAGGGATTTTCAACAAGGCAAGTGACTTACGGATATTTTGTCTCTAGAGGATCCCCCGTCTCGGATTTCTGACAACAAAATTAAATAAATAAACATTCACCAATGAACTCCCATGAGAGAACAAAGTATTTACTTAATCACATAGAATCAACCTTTGCCCAAGGAAGCTTGTCATCTGAACAACCTCTTGGAAATCCATTATAGCCAATGCCTGGCTAAGAAAACACCAACATTAGAACACAATATGTATTATCTCTCAGAAAAACGCATCATTCACCAAGCATGAAGAATACATAATAACAAAGTTTTTAAAACCGAATCGGACAGGGAACCGTTCTGGGTCTGGCTCTCAGGTCAAACGGTCCGACCATTCAAACCGAATGGACGGCCCATTCTGACAATAAAAATTAAAAAAAAAAGTAAAAGAATGACCAAAAACCATTGTTTGGGTCAATGGTTTGACCGCCTGGGTCAGCGATTTGCTAACCAAATCAATGGTTTTTGGCCAAAAAGCAGTACTGGGCTGAAACAAAACCAGTCAGGTGACCAGTTCCAAGTTTTTCCAGTCCAACCGTCTGGTCCGATCCGGTTTTGAAAAAGTTGCATAATAAAGTGCCGTAAGTGCCTAGGAGGCATTACTTTGGTCTCTTTGTGCGCATGATGGGAATAGGGAGGATAGACTTTTTCACAAGCCATCTTTTATAGGTTTTAACAGAAGGTAATTTCTGAGTTCCATTTCTTGATCTTACCAAGTATTATCCCATGTTCACTAACCAAACATGCTCCAACCTACAGTAACAACAAAAAGAAAAGGTAAGCATAAAGCATACTTTGGGATAGAGAGAGGGGAGGGGAAAAAACAAAAAACAGAGCTTGCATTCTCTCATATGAGTGAAATTGCAAGGGATTAAAAACAGCTTTAAAAGCCAAGGGATGTGAAGAATCTAAAACATATCTAAGAAACTTCTGACAAAGCAAAGACTGCAAACCAATCAGGGAATGCATTTAGACAACTAGCCACTTTCATCAGAACAGTACTAGAACACAGTCAATGATGAAAGAAAATGGCATGTAGAGATTATTCATGTTAATTGTGGTACCAATTTGAGTGCAGAAAGAATGTTGAATAGCACATCTAACTATATAAAATATACGCAACTAATAAATATTCTCAGTTAGATGCCACAACTTAAGGAAAATGCCCTTGACATAGTAGGTTAGCTTGTGGCAAATGAAACCTTATCAGGATCTCATCAAAGGCTACAATTTATGGAACTGAAACGTATGAAGCATCTATTCGCCCTTGATATAGTAGGTTAGCTTGTGGCAAATGAAACCTTAGTGACGGTTCAGCCCAGGGTCAGAATTTGTAGGCTCAAAGTACATTTGGGGTAGGTATCATCTCGGAATTGATGCCAATTTACGGGTGAATATGGGTGCGATTTTTGACCTTTTGAATGTTTATATAGATCTGTAATGGAAATCAGAAATCTGCAATGAACATATCCGTACTTCTCCGTTTTTTTTATACCCCCACCCACCCGGATCTGTAAATCTGTAATACGAATCCCTATCAAAGTATCCCCTCCAACTCTGACATACCCCCACCCACCTGGGCTGAACCGTCATTCTCCCTATTTCTTATAGCATACTGTATAATGCCGAAGCTAATGTCAACAACAAAAGTTGACACTTTATGACGCCAAACAAGGTCTAATCAGAAAGGACACAACTAAATGAAGTGCAAATACTTGGATATTCTCAGCTCATCATTAACTCTTCTATTTTTATGTAGTTTAAAAATTATCCATGTAACGGAGGATGAAAGCATTATGTAATCCCAAGGACCATAACAACAAACTGGCATCTTCGTGTAGTACTATTTCATCGCCACATGGCCTTTCCAACTTTAATTCAACAGAAGCATCGTTGTAATCCTAAAGACCGAATTGTATGTAAAGAGCAGCAAATTGATATGGATGGAGCAGGGATAAGCAAATATTTAAAACAAAAATGAATTGCAAGCATACCCATGCTTGTGATCATATTTGAGATACATAAAAGATAAAGTTGATTAAGAAAATGACAGACCTGCCTGTTTGGATCCTTGGATCGCTGCGCTGATAGAAATGCAATCGCCATGAAATAATCATCCCACGACAAGTATCTGCAGCCACTTAAACATAAACAACCAGGAGCCAGGAAGAATTACCATTAGCATGACGAGAAGGGGAGCAAGAGAGTTAATTATGCATTATTTACATCCTACGTCAAGTAAAGCAGATTAACTACTGGAAATGTAAGGACAGATAAAGATATTGAAGGTGAAATTAACTAACCCTTTCCGTTTGGAGGGATCGAAAGGGCTCTGAGACGGAGATTTCTTAACAACCGTGCCGTTCTGTGTCGATTCAATTCGATAAAAGTCCCTTTTCGGATTGAAGAGGAAACGAATTGCCATAGCATAAGCGGCGGCGCCGAGAACGGCAGCCGTGGAGACGAGGGCGAGCTCCCGAGAATTCATGGATTATGAGAGAGAAGTGAGGGGAAAAAAACCCTAGAGAGCTTCCTCTCTTGCAAGCTGCAGCTGCTACCGCAGTACCGCTACTACTAGTAGAGGAAAAGCTGAAATGATTCAAAGCAAAAAAAAAAAAACGCTGTTTTCACTAATGAGCGTTCCGGATATGGTAGCAAGAAACACACTCTGTGTTACACTCAACTAATACCTACGGATGAGGTTCCGTGTTTCTCTCAGTTTCAGGTATTCAAATAAAAATGGCGCCAAACCACAAACAATACTAAGTAGAAACGGCGGGAATAAAGGGCGGGTCCGGCTCGAAAGTCGAACCGGATACTCTGGTCTCTGGTGTATCGAACTATCGATATCGCAGTGGTCTGGATTCTGGACCCGCGCCCGCGGTGCCATGTACGACCCAGACTCAACCCGCTCTGACACAATAACAAACAGCAATTTGTCCATAATATCCATTAATATCGGCCGTCACTCTTAAATCGGGGAATCCGCTCAATTTCAGATGATTGAGGATGAATTAAATCGGGGATATCCATAATATCCATTCACCTCTTTGCAGTAGTCTTGCTGCCGCCCCCATAAGTTTTTGTTTCCACCCCTATATAGGTTTGGTAGTGGAAATTTTTGTTTTCCACGTAGATTTATTCGATAAAAAGCAAAAAAAAATGGCAAATATAAGATTTTCATCATAAAGAAGGGCAAAAGTATTAGCTCGTTTTACATAAAAACAATCATAGCCACAATATTTGTATTTGGGGGCATTTGGGTGTGGCCTCATCAAGCCAGGCCAGCCAATATTTGGGGTGGGGGCCCGATCAATATAATGTTCGTGTTGAATGCGTGTGAGGATGGATAATTGGATATGCAGAGGCAAGACCAGGAGAATTGTCAATGTTATGGACTTTCGGTTTCGGATGCGACTTGGGTGGGTAGGCTCTGGCTCAGGGTCAAACATCTGCTAAGACTTGAAGGGCTTCGACCGAGGCAGGCCCTGGTCGGCTGGCCCGATTGAATACAATCAAACATCTGCCAGTGCCACCCCCCCAAGTCTCAGTCAATGGGGCGGCAACCAAGATGCTACAAGCAATAGGAAAGTGAGACCATTGCCGGCACTCTCTTTCACCCGTAATTTATGAACGTTCTTTATCACGTTTGAAAGAAAAAGGGTAAATTACAAAGACCTCCTTATTAATGGGTCAATAATAATTACTTTCTCAATTTTCATTAGCGGCAAAGACCACCTTATACTATGGGGTTAATGAATTATCCCCTGAACTTTCTTTTGCGATAAAGACTCACCTGAGCTTTCACGTTATGACAAATACCCCTGGCCATTAAGTTAGATGATTGGATGCATTAAATTACTAAAATATTCACCTAAGCTTTACTTAATTTCTTTTATATCCCCATTTTCTCTTAAAACTTAATTGACCAAAAAATACCCCCATTTTTTCTAAATGAAACTAATTAAATAATAATAATCATTTCACTAATATAGAAAAACAAGTTTCTCTAAATTATCGTTTCATTTCATTGCCATGAATGTCTCTCTTCATCTTAGAATATAAAAATTATTCACTACCTTCTCCAATAAATCACAAAAATTCAAACAAACTTTAAATTTATATACATCAAAAGAAACCTCTATCATTTTCATTTGAATAATGAATCCAGCCAAAAATCTGCAAAGATCTATTAGAACAACCAATAGGACATCAATGTCATATTTAAAAAAACCAATCAAATCACAAATTATTCAAATAAATAAAATATATATATATATATATATATATCAAACTTTAAATTTATATCTATCAAACTTTAAATTTGTATCTATCAAAAGAAACCTCTATCATTTTCATTTGAATAATGAATCCAGCCAAAAATCTGCAACAGATCTATTAGAACAACCAATAGGACATCAATGTCATATTTAAAAAACTAATCGAATCACAAATTGTTCAAATAAATAAAAAAAAAGGTAATTTGGGGATTTAAAAAAAATTAAGCAACTGAATGATAATCTTTTTCAAAGTGTTTGGGGTCTTAGGCATTGAAAATTTGAAGGGGGAAGGGGACTGAATTTTTAAGTTGGAGTCTTGGGCGTCCAAGGGGAATGAGTTTCAGGTAGAAAATGTCTACTTATTGACCGGCTATGTTTTTTTCCTTTTAATTTTTTGTATGTTGAATTTTTAAGGTCTCTCCCTCCTCCTCCCTACATAGCCCATCCATTAAGCCAAGTGGCAAGGGAGTTAGTTATTAAGGAAAGAAAGAGAGATTTGGTTTTATAATATTTAGCCAAGTGACATCACCATCCCCCACCTTCCCCTAAATTATCTCTAATTCCTATTTATCTCTAAAATTATCTCTAATTAAGTATGTAGTTTACTTCCTAAATTACCTATAATTCTTATTTATTCTCTCCCACTTTTGATTTATATCTATGTAAACAAAGTTTGAATAAAAAAAAAGGTAAAATTTTTAAACTACCCCTACTGTTTAGTGTAATGACATGTGATACCCCTACTGTTTAGCTATTGTCTTGCATTACCCTTAAATTTTCTGACAATTGACTAGCTCTACCCATAGCATTAATGCTCCATCGAAATTCATACACGTGATGTATAGTTTTTTTCAAAACCCAATTTTGCCTTTCGTCCCTCTCTCTTTTTCTTCACCATCCCTCTCCCCGCAGCAGCTACAGTGAACCACTGTGCAACCCTTCCACTCCCTATTCCTCACGTACGTGAGACTTTTGCAGTCACTGTATTGTTTCGGGATCTCTCCCTCCCTCTTTTTCTCTCTTCGTCCCCTTCGCTCTCTCTCTCTCTCCCCTCATTCCCAGTTTCAGATTTGACAACCGGAGATTGCACTACCGCTGTTGCAACCCTTTTTTCAGATCCAACAACCGGAGATGTCACCACAGCCACCCTTGCCACTGCTGCTACAGCTGCTGCAACCCCTGTTTCAGATCCGACAACTGAGATGTCAACACAGCCACTGTTGCAAGTTGCAGGAGCGGGGGAGAAAGTCAAAGCCAAAAAAAAGAAGAACTCGCGTCCTTTGTCTTTCTAGTTACCAAAGTCAATCGACAATGGGTTCATTCAATATACCTGGAATTTCTCTTTTGCATCTTTCAACTAATGTATTTCAATTATCAGGCATTAAGCTAACTTCCCCTCTTCACCGGCCACCCCTACTCTGTAATCCTCAACCAAATGCAGACAGCAGTAAAACTAAGCACCAAGCTCAAGAAGCCACTCCCCAAACCGATTTTGACAATCGCCATGGACAACCCTTTGGTCTTCAACGGCGGCAAGGGGTAGCCCATATCCTTCTTTCCTTCAAATGAATTCGCATTGAATTGGGGGCGATTCCCAGTTGGGTTCCCCAACAAAGGAGGGATGGGCCCCAAAAGCTGATTAATAGAACCATATCGAAAGCTGATAAGCTTACTGACGATGGCGGATTTGGCCCTCCAGTGACACTGTGGCACTTGGCACCTCGTGACAACTAGGTGCAGTCTAGCGACAACTAGGTACAGCCTCGTGACAAATAGAAAGTTCGCCACTTACAGGCAGCTCGCCTCCTAGCCAAACCGATCACTATATGACAACCCCGAGGAGCTCACCACCGTACCCCGCATTTTACGGGATTGTGACTTGTAACGGGTATATTAATTCACCCACTCCTCGATTTAGGTGGAAATGGGTAACCTTACCGGTTGGTGGCTTTATGCCCACCTAACGCGAAAGCAGGTCCCATCACAGCGGGAATCCAAGAACTGCTCCACCAAACCTACAAGGACTCCAGTATATAAATACCTCACCCCCTAGGGGTGAAGGTAGGCAAAAAAAAAAGGAGAGGAAAAATGATGCGTAATCTCTGCTCTCAGCTCTCTCATTCTCAAAATATAATTTTCAGCTCACTATTAAGTGTTGACTTAACCATTGAAGTGACATCGTCGAGTAAACACCCCCGGGTTCTCTAACTCAGTTATTGCAGGCAACCAGTTCCCGCCGTCTACAAAGATGAGCAAATCATCTCCTACAGGGAACAGCCGGGTTGCACTACGCTAGGGAGCTCCACTTCAGCCCCCGAGTCATTGGCCACCTGGGAGTAGACGGGAGCAATGTTAGGGTCTGCAACTTCATGAACTTGTGAGCAATTGAAAGCACAAGAGATCTGGAATATCTAAGCGACCCCCATAGGAAAAGAGGAGGAAGGGTGTGACGAGAGGGACTCGAAAAATAAGAAATTCAGCAAATATTCTAAAAATAATGAAAATTAATATTTTTTCTAATTAAATTCAAAAATGGAAAAATAAAATCAAGAAAACGAGGGGGGAAAGGCAAATATTCTTCTTTGTAAGTGAGAGAGGGGGAGTGTAGTGTTACAGATCAGAGCATTTTAGGAGAGAGGCCATTAACGCTATTCGAATTCTCCTGCAAAACCGGCTCAAACATGTGGGGGAGTTTGAAACTCCTCAGCCCATTTCTATCCTTAGCAATATTTTCTTCAACCTTCTTGCGAGAGAGAGAGACTTAGTGGCCCGATCTTCGAAGCAAGAGAACTTGCAACACTTACCTCACCGCCAGTGGCGTAGACGTCAACGACCTAGGTGGGATCGAACTTGAAAGGCATGGCTGAATTTACAGAGACAGAACTTAGGGTTCCAGCTCCAATCGAAGGGAAATGAGAAGAAATCGAGACCTTGCTCTGGGAAAGAAGGCATCACCGGTGCAAGCCTTTGGGGAAGAATTGGCTTCCCATTCTTCTGCAAATTCAAATAATAAAAATTTGGCACCATAGACCTTGCTCCTGTGAAGAGGAAAAAGAGGGTAAATTTGACATTTCTTTCCTTCCGTTAGTACTTAAGGACAATGACAATTGTCAAAAAACTTAAGGGTTCTGCAAGACAATAGCTAAATAATATGGGTAGTGCGTGTCAATACGCTAAATAGTAGGGGTAGTTTAAGAAATTTACCCTTAAAAAAAGTAAGAATTATTTAAATATTATAATGAAATTATGTAATAACTTTAACAATAGTTGTTATAAATACAAAAAAAATACTTTTATAGATTATTCAATTTAACAATTAAATAATATTTTACAATTTTAAATAAAAAAATATTTAAACGTTATTCAAATAATAAAAATTTAAAACTAAAAAATATTACTTAAATATTTCAATAACTAAATGCTTTGAATAGCATAATATTAAAAGTAGATAAATAATTATATAACATAATATTGAATATTACGTAATAACTTTAAAATAAATAAAATTTAAATATTATATATATATATATTTAAATATTTAAATAACTAAATTTTTTAAATATGCAATATTTAACATAAATAAATTTTAAATAGTTAAAATAATGAAATTATGTAAAAAATTTAAAAATTTTCTTATAAGTAGAAGAGTAATTATAATAGATTTCATAATATTTTAACTAATAATAATTTTAAAATATTTATCTATATTTATTATATATTTATATGTACTAAAATTATTATTTAGTGTATTTTCAATAATTATTTATTGTATTTGTGATAAAAATATTTTTAACAATTATGTATAAATCTATTTTTGTTTTTTCATTTAACAAACAATTTTTCAATACTTATTGGAGATTAAAATATTATTATTTAACTTTTTAAATTTAATTTATTATAATTATTGCATTTAATGTATTTTTGTTATAATTTATTGATTCACATTTGCTATAGATTAAACTATTATTGGATATTACACTATTTATTGACTAATTTAATATATTTTTGTTATTTATTGTATTTCATAATTATTGTATTCATTGTATATTTATTAGTTATATTTTTCATTATAATTTTATTTTTAATAATTGTGTATTTTTGCTATAAAATCTCAATAATTATTGAAGATTAAATTATTGCTATTTATTGGAGATTAGGCTATTAATTTAGCTAAAATTGGGAGTGTTCATGGGTCATTTTGGTTCGGTTTAAGGTTGTTTGGCCAACCAAACCAACTTGGATGGGTTGGGGAGCTAGTCACCCAAAACTAGACTAGTTCATGGGTCGGGTTGGCCCAAATTGACCCATTCTAAATTTGGGCTTGGACAATGGTTTATGCCCACAGGCTCAGGCTTTAAGCATTAGGCCTGACTATTTTTTTGGCCAGGCTCGGTTTTTCCCAAAAGGTGTAAGTACATGTGGTTCACTATGTATGTGATCGCAGTGAAGGCATCAAACCAAAATGACAAAAATGCCCATGATGACACGGATGCCACTGATGGCTTGTGATGAGCTCAAAGCCATCGCAGACATGTGATGGACTAAAGAACCATCACACGACTGCAACAAATCAAAGGCACTCAGGACAAGACGTTCAACAAACTAAGCGAAACACTTCATAACAGCTTTGATGTCACCCATGCCATGTCAATATAGGACTATGAGGGGAAGTAGCACACGTGTACCATGAGAATCCTCGAATGAAGGGAAACTTTGTTCTAAGAAGTTCTCACGTGACATGTGGCGAACCCCTAATAGTGTCCTCCTAACAATCGACATCAAATCGAAGTTCCCCTTTCCTAATAGGAATCAAACCTGTTTTGTCTCCTTCCCTTTAGGGCCTCGGCGTCTCCCGTTATAAAAAGAGCAATAAACCATGATTAACACACAATTTTGTAGAGACCCATGTCTACATTTGCTACCCTACATTCTTTGGCCTTTCTTCGTCTTTCGAGGAGACCACCATACTTAGCCTTACTACCCCACTTATGAAAGGTATTACATATTATAATATATAGAATATTATAAAATACATAATGTATTATTAATAATATATAATTAGTATAATATAAAATATTCATCTAGATTGGGCTTCGGGCTTGGGCAGAAGATCTAGGCTTAATGGTCGGGTCGGGCTTAGGCTTAGCCTTGGTAATTTTCTGTTTATAAAGATGAAAAACCTTGTCCAACCCTACCCATGTATAGGTCTACTCAAAACCGATCAACCATTAGTAAAAATTGGCCAACTCAAGTTGTATCAGTTTGGTCAACCAGTTTAAAAGATTTAAACTTAAAAATAAAATTTTAATTTAAAAATTACAAAAGTATTATTAAAAGTAAATAAATAATTTAAATTTATAATATAATATACGTTAGACTAAAAAATATGAGATTTTTTTCACATTCTTGTTTTAAAAATTATATTGAAAATATAAAATATTAATATATATCTATGGTCAGGTTAGTTCGATTTTGATCAATTTACAAATGACCAAACTAGAATTGACTCGATCTAGTCGGATTGGGAAACTACTAAACTGAAGCTGACTAAAAAATACTAGAAAATCGACCAACTCAAGTTGAGTTAGGTCGGGTTGGTCGGTTTCTTCAGTTTCATCAGTTTGATGACCATTTTAGCTGAAATTAATTATTGTTATTTTTGTATTGCAAAGAAAAAACGTAAAAGTAGTATATAAAATATAAATAATTAATAATTATTTAAAAGTTAAAATATAAAATAATTGTATACTCTTATGTATTTCTATTGCTTAGCTTTCGCTTAACAAAGCCCATACATCGCAAGGGTCCTCGCTAATAGGATATATTTTAATAAAACAAAAGTTTCACATTCTCATTTACGTACACTTTTAATAATATAAGTATAGATCAATATAAATATATTAAGTTGAAATGTGTATGTAAGAAGGCCTGAGAACGAGGGAAATGGAATCAAACAGTATTTTTTGCCTTTTTTCATAAAAATTACAAGAATGCCACTCTCTACCAACTCTTTCTTTTTCTTTTTTTTTTTCTTTCAAATTACAAAAATACCATTATCTCCTACCAACTCTCTCTATCTCTCTCTTGCTTTTTTTTTCTTTCAAATTACAAGAATGCTATTCTCTCTCCTACCAACTCTCTCTCTCTCTTACAAATTACAAGAATGCCATCTCTCTCTCTCTCTCTCTCCTGCCATCCCCATCTCTCTCATTATAAATTACAAGAATGCCACTCTCTCTCCAATTGAGGGAGACCTCGACTTGGCATCTTGGCTACTAGGGGACCTGCAATCAAAGGTAGTCGAGTTCGAGTCGAGCCAAGTTCGAACTTCTAAGCTCAAGCTCAAGTCTTTAATTCGAATTGAGCTCAAGCTAGACAACACCTCGGCCACTGAAGGAGACCTAGGTTCGACACCTCAGTCACTGAGGGAGATCTCCGCTCAGTACCTGGACAACTGAGGGAGACCTCAGCTCGACACCTTGTCAACTAAGAGAGACCTTAGCTCGACACCTTGCCTGCTAGGGAAACCTCATCTCAACACTTCAAACAACTAAGGGAGACCTCGATTTGGCACTTCGGCAATTGAGGGATTCCTCAGCTGCTTGAGAGACTTACAATCATAGATAGTTGAGCTCGAACTTTCGAGCTTTTGACTCGAACCGTTGAACTTGAATTCAAATCTCTAATTCGAATCGAGCTCGAGCCTAATAGTTTATGAATGAGCCCTTGCAATGTAGGGCCCCCTCCGCTAACAATAAGAACCGATTCAGAGTCCCACTATTGATCCAAACAAAACCATAGAACTAATCCAATGTCATCGATTTGGTCAGTTTGGTTTCCTTGGACGAGCTATTGAAAGCTACTTCGTGAGGACGACCAAAAAAAAAAAACTTGGATCCGTAAATCTAGTGGGTGCCCCTAGAATAAGTTTACACTAGAGGTGGACATTTAATCCGTTGGAAAATGTCGTCAATAAAAAAAAAAAGAAAAGAAATGGACAAACAAAATATAGAAAGGGTGTAGTCGTGTAGATAAAGCAATTGAGAAACTAGCAAATAAACTAATAAAGCTTAAAATTGATCCTCCATATTATTTCAAATCATCCAATCCCAGGCATTAAGTGTTGTTGTTCTTCTTCTTATTTTGCGCCCAACCGTTCTGCATTATTCTACCAGCACAATGATTTTTCCAATATTTCAAACGGATCATATATATTTATATCCGGTACCAGATTAATTTTGATATTATGTATACTATCCATTATCATCCTCAACCTATACTATTAATAAAATTAAACTAAAGATTATTAGAAAAATGCAAATTTTAACTAAAAATCGTTCTGAATAAATAACTTAGAATCCATGACTTCTTAACAAACACACAATTCACAACACTCAAATCAGCTGTGCTAATAAATACAACAATAATACATGTTAATTATTTTTTTGTATGGGCATGTATATGCATATGGTAACATGGTCGATTCGGATCGTATCGGATTAGGGACAGTTGATTTTCGATCCGATGAATGATCCTATTTACATCGGCTGATTAAGTTTGGGTTTGACGTTTGAGTTTTAAACAAATCACAAATGGATGGTTCATGGTTGGATACCCTTTCCATTGTAGGCTGTATCTCCGCCTCTGTATCATACATACTTATTTTACTCCCTTCTCCACAAATAGAAATGATATCCAACAAAACATTGCATAAATCAAAGGTGCTTCTCAGATCTAAAACCTAACCCAAAAAAGAAAAAAAGTTTGGTAAGGCTCTTGGACGACCTTGGTTACCAGAACCCTCCTATTTTTTCTTATTCTTACTTTTTTTTTTTTTTTCTATCTTGAAATTAAATACCATCTTCCGTTCTCTCAATGACTGCAACCGTTTTTGCGCAAATCGTCTCGCTCTTGTTTTTAATTTACAGACAACAGCAGCGATGCGAGCAATAAAAGATTAAAAATGTTCAAACAACACGAACAATATAGAAGAATATAATGACACCTGACGTAACTCAAGAGTTCAATTAATATTAATACTTTCTCTGAAAAGAACAAAGAAATTCCATTCTGGTTTGTTCTCAATTCTGGAGGACTAAAGGCCAATAAAAAAAATCCAATTTACATCAACATTCCCATTTCTCATTCATTAACTATAACTAAAAAAAAATATATTATCATAGAATTATAATCAAATAATTCTGTCTCCTAGCACTTTTAGGTTTATATTACAGACATTAAAGGAGGATCCAAAAGCAAAAGTCCAACTATTGCGTTTGTTTCTCCGTAAAATGGAGGTAATTTTGTTCACACTGGAATATTTCAGCTATTATTTCTCCCCCTTTTATAAATCAAATCACCAAGGAAAACAGAATTTTGATGGTAAAAGGGGAAAACATATATAGCTCAGATATATCTCAGCCTGAAAATAATTCCGCCCATATTTTACACTGAAACAAACGGAGCGAAAACAGAGAACATAAAAAGCTGAGCTGAGATTCTGATCGGAACCGAGTTAATAAGTTATGAGGGACGATTGGGAGAACGTACAGAGAGTTGAACCGGGATGGGTCGACCAGTACCGGTGCCGCCGCAGCTGCTACATGCCATGCGACCGGACCCAGCACAAGTCCGGCAGCCAACATCGCCGTCGGACCAGCGTGTGCACATGCAGTTGACTCGTCCAGTGCCGTTGCAACTGGGACACCTTGGCCATGGCCCTGCCATGGGCTTCTGTTCCATCACCGATTTCACCAACACCGCACCTGCTAAGACGCCCAGGCCCGTTGCAAGCTGAGACACCACGATGGGACCCATCTCCGATCTCTGGATTCAACGCAGGAGACTTTCCGGCTACACAGGCAGAACCGCAGAAGGGAAGTATGGACTGGGATATTTTTCTTTTTACGATGCAGATCGAATTCTCGTGTTTATGTATTCCTCCGTTCCTTGCGAGGTGGAAGCAGGGACATCAAGTGGTTGGCGAATTCTACACGTCGACTCCTTTTTTAGATTTGTATTTTAGCGAAGGTGTTTCTTTCGTTTCTTCTTTCCTTCTACGCCACATGTGTAACTTCTCTTTTTATTTTCTCTATTTTTCTTATTTCATTATAGCGAATTAATCTTTGATGTACAATATTTTTGTATCCCATTGATTTCTGTCAATTCAGTGGGATCGAATTATAATGATTATCAATTGGATGGCATCGTTGATTTTGTGCCAGATTGGGCCACATTCCCGATATCGTCATGATACATCGTTGATTTTTTCTAGTGGCACGCCCGCCGCTACGTCTTTTTTTTTTTTTTTTAATAAATTAATGCGTCATGCCCTAGTTGTATATGCAGTCAGTAAAATTACACTGCAGTACATCGTTAAAATTTTGAATTCCACTGCAACCTTTTATACCTCATTTCTAAAACATCAATATCCACTTGTATATAAACATCAATTTCGAGCTAGTATCCATCCCAACTATATTGTGAGATTAAAAATTGTTAGAGTGTGCCGAACAGTCATTCTTCCTAGTGGGTTCGTGACTTCGTGTATGAGAATCGAAAAATTTTTAAATCCAAAATCTCTGAAAACACATGAGCATATCACACAATGACACAAAGACATGTGGGGATCGAAGAATCCATTACCAATTACCATTCTGAGAGTCGGACGGGTCAATTATTCCTGGGCCTGATATAAGTATATAACCAATGTTTTAAAAAAAGACCTGAAACATTATAGACCGCATTTTAGATTGGTGGAGCACTTGCAACAATAACCCATCGTAGAGTTCTTAGGGTGTTGCCTAAGGTGCTATTATGCGAAGTTTGGGTGAAAAGGTGTAGAAGAATTTATAATGGCAAATCTATTCCCGCAGGCAAGGTAATCTAATATATCATAAATTAGTTTATTGAAATTGATAAAGTTACTTTATTATCCACTTTTAGGATACAAATAATTGGTGGAGGACTGATTTTCCATTTCCATCCAATCCCATCAAATAAAAGTTGTATAAATGGATAATATGGCAAGTTCCTTCACGTGGCAAGGTAAAACTAAATAATAATGGTGCTCTTTGAGGAAACTCGGGAGTAGGAAGTGGGGGAGGTTTGATTCATGATGATGATGGCAGGTTTCTTAAAGCTTTCTTAAGTCGTTACGGTATTTATACTTCTCTTCAAGTCAGTGGAGTATTTGACTAAAATGGGTGGGACGTTGGAAGGATTCACTAACTTCGACGCTCTTTCACATATCCCAGATCAGGTAAGAAAGTTAATATTTGAGGATTTTATAGGTTTATCCACTCTAAGAGTTAGATAATCTATTTATTGCTTTTATTGTGGGCTGGGCTGAGAGAGTAAGGTTGAGATATTTGTATTTTGGGTATGGGGCAAGGCGGGCTAAGTCCTCCCTTATAATAGCTGTGTTTATTTTTTATAATGGTTAATAAAATTTTGGAGTAAAAAAACAACATGAAACTGGAACCATTCCGATTTTCAGGTTGACAATTTGACCATCCACTTTGAACGGACAGCCCATTTTGACAAAAAATAATTAAAATAAAAATAACCATAACCATTGAATGGGTCAATGGTTTGACCACCTGGGTCAATAGGTTATTGACCAATTCAACGGATTTTAACTTGAGACCGGGTTTGGGGTTAAATAAAACCGGTTGTCTGAACGGTTTTCAGGCTGAACGACGATTCAAAAACTATGGACCTAACCCATACCCGATGTCCTGTTCTATGAAGGTGGGCTGAGTATTTGGACTTGGCCACAAAATCCATTATTTATACTATCTTATATAAATTACAATTACCCACATGTATATTATTTATACTATCTTAAATTTGAAATTCAAACCATAACAGCTCTATTTCTTTGTCTCGTGGGTTAGAGGGTTGCCCAAGCCCAAACTCTTTGATCCCAAGTCTCCACTGCAACCATTACTACCGCCAACCTACCATCCGTTTTTTTGTCTTTTAACAGAATGGAAAAGAAAAAGTGTTAGAAAGCCGGGGAAGCCCACTAACATAAAATTATATATTTCCCCTTTCACAGTGGAAAATAATCATGGTTTTCAGACCTTCAATGATCTGGTTGGTCAGACTGTTTGACCTCAAAATCATTCAAACAACTTGCTTACCAAAAAAAAGAAAATTCAAGCAATCGGTTCTATTTTATCCTTAACCCATTTTTTTGTCAAAAACTGTTGATTTAATTAACGATCCACCAACCTGAGTGACTTAACATTATTTGAATCATTGACTGCTTGCCTTTTTTAGACATTTTTTATTTTTTTTATAAATTGAAACATATCATCCATTTGAATCAAATGGTCAAACTACGGATCCGAAAACTAGTAGTCCAAACAGTTCCAATTCTAATTCAGGGTCAGTTTTTAAAACACTGATCACGATAAGAGACACGTGAAAAGCCAAAAGGATAGGCAAAAAAAACCCAGATTTAATACTCACTTTCTCTACCCGCACCTTATACCCAGTATACTGCACCTGCACATCTCACAATAGAAGATGTTTATGTATAACTACAATTCAAGTCCAGTAGAGTGTGGATAGAAAAATTGTGGGCACGAAATCCGATTTGATAGTCACCCCATGCTTGGATGGAAACCGTAGAACGTAGATTATGCATGTGGGATTTTACATGCCATCCGCTAAGGTCTCTACGGTTTACACTCCGCTTTCGCACATTGTCAATTAAAAAAACAAAGGAGAGATTTTCCCTGATGATACTTGGCCCAAAATAGAAGACGGGAAAAAAAAATCAAAACAAGAAACTCCCTGGATGTGCGGATACGGGTTAGGATATTTTCCCCTTGCCTTTCAACGAGTTCCAATCTATAAAGAATCTCCACACCTGGCAAACCGCTTTAGTGGTAACGGTTGTTTTAGATCATCATGAACGAGAAATTGATACAAAAAGAATGTTTTTTTGGGATGTTGTAGCCCTTAAATTTGATAGTCTGGTGTTGATATTTCATGGGAGGGGATTTCATTCACATTGGACGGTCGTGGAACCAGAATCTTATTTGCCTTTTGGCAACTCACTTGGTTGTGATGCTGCTATTTGAATGCAACAAATTATCAAATAAAATTAGTGTTTTTAATTCGTTGCTGATTTGGTTGTTGGAAAATGGGGTCACTGAAATTCGGAGGTGAACTTCTAAAGCATGTATGAAGATATTGTCTTTAGAATGCTATTTGTTTCCATTCATTTTTAATGAATTTGCTGTTGGGTTATAGACAAATTCGTTTCCAAGAAATAACAGAGCCTTGGACAAGAATCTACAACCAATAAATTTGAAGATTCTTTGAAAAAACCTTTTGTGAGACTGTAATAAACCGGATTGAAAGAGAGAGAGAGAGAGCAAGAGAAAGTGACTTTCAAAAATGTTGTGTATGTGCAAAATACTTGATTTGTGCTCCTTATATACTGAAGGGCCATGAAGAAGAGGAAGGTGCTGGTTTAGAGAAAGGCACATTGAACAGTTACAATTTCAAACATCGTAACTGTTTAAAAGGTAGTTAACAGTTAATGACTATTAACTTTGAATTGTGCCTCTTAATCACACCGATTGCATCGTGGCCGTTGATCACATCAACAGTTAACATCGTACCAAGAAACCAAAGCCACGCTTTGCGAGCCACATGAGTGTGCGCAAAGTGTGAGCAAAGTGCGCCTCTAAAGCTAGGGTGTCAACGGTATACGAAAATATGATTTTGAATTCGATATTCGACATAATCAAATTGAATTCTGATAATTCAAATGTTTAATCGGTCGAATTCGGATATCCTATTTATACCGAATAATTAATCGGATTTGAATTCGGATATGACTTGATTCAATTTGATAAATATCCGAATTCGACCGATTATTTAATTTTTATATATAGTATATAAAATATTTTATAATATATATAATAATTAATTTATATACTTTATATCAATAAAATATTTATTTTATATATTTATTAATTATCTAAAATAATTAGATATTCAAATATTTAATTGAATTCAAATTCATATATTAATTTTCAATATCCGATTTTCTAATCAAATTCGAATTCGGATATTGCCTGATTCGATTCGAATTCGATCCGTTTACACCCTATCAAACGTGCCTCATTGCACCTCGCACACGCATGCACGCGCGTTGTGCGATAGAAAGCCTACATACCCTCCTCTTCTATTTCTAAAGAGTATAAATCAGCTCCTATTAAAAAACCCAAAACAAAACTTGTAATTTTTCAATGTGGGACAACTTCAAAACTGGTTTTAGTAAGAGAAAAGTCATTTTCCAAAACAAGTGTATAGGTGTAATTTCTCATGTAATTGACAAATCAAACCCATTGGATTTAATCCTTAATGAGATTAAAATCTAACATCGATTGGTTGAACTGTTCGAACCATTACTCGGTCAAGATTCTAGGTCTAGTTTGAGTGAAACCTGGAAAAATACTAATTTTTTTAGATAACTTTTCGATATCTATGCATCCCAAGAGCTATAGGTTCCTTGTCCTATTATTTGTTACAAATAAAAAACCTTTTTTTAGCTTCAAATCATAATTTTTAATATTTTATAATTAAAAAAATAAAGATTAAATATAAAATAATACATATATTATATCTAAAATATAATTATATATTCTTTATTAATATATACGGTCTTAATCGTTTGACCTACGACCTAAAGAATCAATTCGGCCTCTAAATCGGCTTTTAAAACACAGAGTAAAATAATACCGGAAATTACAAAGTTAAAATGGCAGTAGTCAACTTTTTGAATAAATAAAGTTGTGATCAGTCAAAAATTTGCAACCACTTCGCTTCTTGCACGACGAGGTTCTAGTATTTGATTTGATTGCGAATTCCAACTAATTAGCCGACCATTCCATTAATTGGAGCGGCAATTAAGATGAGTTGATGATGCATT